ATTTCCGTTTTAATCTTTTATGCTATCTCCACTTGACTATTAAGTCATCAAAGGCCTCCAATCTCTGGATTCTGTGAGACAGAAGACAACTTCCTACACTTCTAGTGAAGAGGGAGTTATATTCCAGAGAAGGGTAGACATATCTGAGAATGCCTCTGTATGTTTGCTGCTATCCTATTTTTTGATGGAAGGGGACCTTTGGATTAGGCAAGCAGAATGAATGGAGAGATGCAGTCTCAGTTACTAGGTCTGAGACCTTTAGGACTTTATGGTTGATGACCATTCCTTGAACTGAACTTGGGGAGAAACCAATAGCCCACACATCTCCCGTATCAGTGGTTTAATTCTTTTTTATATATAACAACCCACTCAGATTCTAGGCAGCTTACAAAATCCAGAAAATAATAAAACCAATTAAATATACATACCCATGCAACCTAGATAAAAAAAAAACAGGATAACCTGTACAAACCCCCCCCCCCCAATAAATTGTAAGCATATTAACCCCGAGAATTGGGAACAGAATCAGTTTTTAAGGGATTTCCAAAAGCCCAGAAAAACCATTCATGTCTTTATGGGATGAGAGTATGCTGCTCTAGAAAGCAAAGCAGCAACAAGGCAGATACACTTCTCGGTTCTACAAAATGGCAGCATTTAATAGAGGAGACAAAGGTAATTCAGGTCGTCTTCAATTTAAAACCATTTGTTTAGTGACTATTCAGTTACAACAGCACTGAAAAAAGTGAGTGTTTTTCACACTTAGGATCATTGCAGCATGGTCACATGATCAAAATTCAGCTCCTTGGCAACTGGCATGTATTTATGATGGTTGCAGTGTTTTGGTGTCATGTGATCGCCTTTTGAGACCTAACAAGCAAAGTCAATGGGGAAATCAAATTCATTTAACAGCAATATTACTAACTTAACAACTGCAGTGATTCACTTAACACCTGTGGCAAGAAAGACAGTAAAATGGGACAAAACTTATTTAACTGTCTTGCTTAGCAACAGAAATGTTGGGCTCAAATGTCTCATAAGTCTAAGGTTATCTAATTTTAATCCACTTATGCATGATTTTTGAAGACTTTTCTCCCCTTTTCCACATAGTGACTGATTCTTTATTGGCATCAGTTTTTTAAAAAAACTCCCATCTCCAAATCTTTCATAATCACATGTAGAGGTACAAAACCAATCATCTAGTATTAGAGGTTTGGAGTAATTACTTTTACGCCTTACTCATGTGTTTTATGATCCTTTCTTTCAGGATTGGTGTCCTAAATTAATCTACCATCAGCCTCCAAATTCTACTAGGCTGTCATTATTTTACCCTAAAGCTGTCAAGAATGAGTGACCTATTTGCTAAATTTATAGATCAGCTATGCTCTTGAAAAGCAGGACTATCCTAAATACTACCCACAACTTAATTTATTTGTTCCTGCTTGCTTATTGACTCATTTGACTATTTTAGAACAGCCATCTTTTCAGGGATAAGCCAGGGTTACAAGGGTTTTCATTACTTTAACCAATGACTTCCTGAACTAACCTGAACTCTTTTTCTCCTAGCAGCCACATTGCTGCGAATACCAAGTTTTGGTTCTCGGTTTGGACGGGGCTGGAAAAAGCACTATTCTTCACTATGTATGTAGTCCAGAAGCCAAAAAGCATATAGCACCTACTCAAGGCTTCAACTCGGTGCAGCTGCAGGCCAGTGGGCTCCAGGTGAACCTTCTAGAAGGTAAGCCCTGCTTGGAAATAGGGCATAATCAGCAACATACTGCATGTGTGGTAAGATAAAGAATATTAATCTGACACTAGTGCAGGAAAGATGAGTCCGGAAGTTCTTTCCCTTTATGATAGCAGTCACTGGCTTTGTTCACAGAAACCAGACTTAACTTTTATCTATGTAAGTCAGTTTGTTTACACCATAAACTAAGTCTCAAAAAACCTGATATCCAAATAACAAACTTTTTAAAAAAACTGACTTATGTTTAACATAGTTTTTAAAAATCTAGTATCATATTGAAGGGAAAACTCTTGAAACCCTTCTCCTGAATTAATTTCTTCAGTGCTGGGAATCTATGACTTGTCAATTTTTGTATTTTCAGCCTGAACAATGCATGGGAGACTATAATAGGTATTTATACATAATAAGAGAAAATTCTCTTTTATTAAAATCTACATCTGCATTTCAGGCATGTGAAAGATGCTTGTGATGTGCTGTAAAGAAATATTTTCTAAGGATTTGTTCCTTAGAAGTGGGCACTACAATTAAGCACTGGAGGACATCAGAATGAGAAAAAATGCTATCCAGTCAACTTGTATTTTTTCTCTTTGTTATACTAGTTGGTGGGAGCCAGAATCTACGCTTCTATTGGAACCAATATCTGAGCAAAGCCCACATTTTGGTGTTTGTTGTAGACTCTGCCGATGGCCCACGCCTTCATATTGCTCGGCAGCAGCTCCACTACCTGTTAGCTGAGGATCCTCAGTTGCCTTTGATAATCTTAGCTAACAAACAGGTGAGTCCCTTGCTATCTTTCACGTGGCATTCTAAAACTGCAGTTTGATATAGATCATGGGTGTCAAATTCACTGCATCATGTTAATGTCACATGACATTTTGAGATTTTTTTCCCCTTCGCAGAGCTGGTGTGGGCATGGCCTGTGCGTGACGCATCCAGCCCGCAGGCCGCCAGTTTGACACCCCAGATATAGATGGAAGAACAACTTACAATTATAGAACTGCATGTGACTCTTAAGATTTCTTTGACTGACACAATGAGCTTTCCTAGACTATTTTCTGTACTTCAAAAATCTCTTAAGGTTTGCAAGAATACAACCAAAATGTAACAGCAGATCACCAATAACAATTTCTTAATAATTTCAAGTGAAAAAAGGAGCACTAGTATAAGCTTAATTCTCACCCAAATGAAGAAAAATACAAAATTGTGGCATAGCTCTTACAGGAAAGGCCTAAGGTTTTTAAAATGATCGTTTGTACATCTATTCTAGGACAAGAATGATGCCCTGAGTGTTGCAGAATTGCAAGAGGAGTTGGCCTTGCACAACCTGGATAGACAAAGAAAATTCTTTCTCTTGCCCACAAGTGCAACTTTTGCTGGTCTGGCCACAGCAAACAGTGTTCTTCACTTGAAGCACCTGCTGGTCAAAATCCTTGCCCATTCAAGCAAGATGGACTCCCTGTGATTGTGCCTCTCTTTTTCAGCATGTTCAAGAAAGTCTTAAAAGTCCACCTGGCATTCACCAAATGCTTTTGGAGAAGGAATTCCACCTGCCAATATAGCCTTGAAAATAACTCCTACTGTTCTGGATAAGGAAGGAAAACAAAAGGCAAAGTACATTGCTTGAGGGGGCGCATCAATCAATCTCAGAGACTAGCTATTGAGAGCAGCTGCTGCTCTTTTCACAAACCTAAAGAACTGTAATACCAATGTTTGCACTAGGACTTTGCATTCTTCTTTACTGGATCTACTATACTCGACTTAAAAATAAGCAGGAAGAGGTAATGCAATGACTTTATATAAAGGAAGCTAAGGAAGTCATTTCAAAGGCTCTGTTTGCCTGTGACTTCGTTATTTTAAAAGCTGGGGGGTTAGTCTTGGCCCATAAAGGGCTTCTTCATCCTGATTGCAGTTAACAGAAATCAGTATGTACTGAAACTGATGGCTTAGCTAGGTTTGAGGACTCTTTAATGGAATATCTTTTATTTCTGCCTATGCATGTTGGAACAGCTGTGCCTTGAACTGATGCCAAAGCTAATTCAGTCACTAAGACACTGCTATCTTCTTATTTATTACTTGATTCTTCTGAAGTAGCCTCTACAAGGTCTAGATATTTGATATGGGCCAAAAGAATGGGAAACTCTGGGTTACACCACAAAGAGATGCATGAAACTGACATCCTCCAAACTAGTTGAGTGTCCAATTCCCAGGTTGGCTGGGAAGTTTGAGATGCAGGCCAACACATGCAAGTGTCCCTGATATGGCAAAGTTGTTCAGCATGTACTTGAATATCTCCATTTGATCACAACCTGTCAAGGGCTCTTTGAAAGTTTTTATTTCTGCTCCATTATAGAAACAAAATGTTATCTACGCAACAGCTATTCTGAGCTACCGTAGTAATGGCTGTTATAGCATACAGGTAGGCCACATCATAGGGACTACCTATATCATTCTCCTAAATTTCTAATGAAGAAAAAGAACAACCAATTGTCTCACCTCTGTATTAAAGCATAATTCTACATATGCAAGAAGCCAATCCCATCTTTAGGCAATTTGTGCCTACAGCTCTAATGATGTTACAAGTAAGAATGATGCTGTTTCTTAACTAGGAAAACGATGTATATACTATTACTCTCCATTGTTCCTTCTGTTGGCAGCTCAGGATCTTTGTTTGGACTAAGCTCCTTTCCACAGTTTTATGTTTTAATCTTCCCCCTCCTTTATTTATCCTACCACAGAATATAGGAACCCTGGATAATATATCTTAGCCATATATACCGAAGGTCATTGGTAACAAATGCTATGTACTATTTATCAATAAATCTTGTGTTGTAAGATATGACTCTGCTCTTCACCTCTTGACGAATCCTGTGTACAATTCAACAGGACAATTACAGATTTTACTTGGGATTAGACAGTTTTTTTTAGTCCTGTGCTTTCCAGGTGCTTAAAAAACAGAGAATTCAGAAGATTTATCAATTGCAAATCCCTGTAGTAGCTGCATGACAATGTATAACTGCAGTTTGTCTTCAGAGATAAATAACTTTTAAAATAACCAAGGAAAGATGGCTTGACAGACAAGCCATAACCACGCATTAGGAACCCTCATTCCAACACGGTCGTCACCAGAACGGTGACTTCTTCCCTCCCATAAATATGAACTAGTGCTTATTGAGTTAGCATTTCTCTGGGATAGACTCTTATTGGAAAGTGTAGATAGATCTTTCCGGCACAAATTAACCAGTTCTGAGGCTTTAACCTTGAAGTCCACATCTTATTTCTGAAAAAGGAAACTACTATTTGAGGCTACTATTATTGTGCAGTCTTTCCAAACTGCTCAAGAAGCGGACAGGTTGGTGCACAATTAATCTCTGCTCTTGTAACTAACATTTTTTCAACATTCTCTATTATTGACACTAGGTTTAGGTTATGTCAATCAAGGTTATGTCAATCAAGGTCTCTACAAAGCAAAAATATTTTGTCACAAAGAGTTCTTTTACCTTGAAGAACCTTTAGTGAAATAAACAAACCTGAAAGCGGACTTAAAATTTCTGCAGAACTTTGGAGAATCAAAGTTTCATCTGTATTTTCTTATCTCTCTTTAAAAGGCAATATTTTATGTAATTCAAGTATTAGCTTTCCAATCTCTGTCATTTAAATCCATGCCAGCAGATGAAATAATGTTTCAACAACTTTTCTCCTCATAATTATTGTTCCATTTTTTCTGGTCGTAGAGATGAAATGAATGCTTGGTACTCCTCAGGATAGAAGCGTTTATACACATTGATCTTCCTCTTTATTTGTTTTGGTGTATCCTGGTAATAGTTCTTCTCATCACGAGCCATAGCCTAGGCAGTAAATTACAAGCATAAATTAACAGAGAAGCAGTTTTATGTTAACATATAGTTTTAGAAAGTTGCCACACCCAGAAAGTAAGCATTATATTAAACATCCAAGTCTCAGGGACACCCTGTACATAAAGCAAATGCAAATATAACTACAGAACTCCAGTTTGTTTGTTTTTTAAAAGGTAGATTCAGATGCTGGATGCAATTTAACCAGTTGCTCTACAGATATTTTGAATTCTGCTTGCAGCAAAGGATTGTAAGCACTCCAGTATAAACTACCTGAAGGGCCCTAGATTGCTTATTTCAGTTCAAATGTCCATTGCAGAACAATCATACATGTTGTCAAGCAAGAAACACCGCACAAAGCAATATGGGGAAAGAGAGGAAACAAATCCTTTTCTAAAGTTGCCTATATAATGCACAATGTATCAATAATCCTATAAATCAATGCAAGTCTTAAGCATCATGAAAGTCATTCATATTAAAACCCATGCCAAGATTTGAATAGTTTCTAAAAATGTGTGGGAAAAATAAAGATCCACCATGCAACCCAGAAGAGTTTCTCTGGAGAAAATGTAAGTACTGAAAAGATCTTCTGTTTTAAATACGTACTTGCCTGCGAGAGGAGATCTTACCCAGCCAAGCTGTTTCAAAGATTAAAACTCAATTAGAATTGGCCTTGGAATAACTGGAAACCAGTGCAGAAGGCAAACAGATTGGCATGAAATAGTAATAACAGCCAGTCCTCCCCACTTTCAAAATCTAGCTATTGTAATTGGGAATATCTAATCTGATTTTCATATAATTTTCTAATTATGTATTGCAATTATCTAAATAAAATAATACTAGTTGGAAATAATTACCAAATTATCTCTGGCCAAAAGAATGAGGGTATCTACCTTATAGTTTTCACCATGATTCTGAATCATGTGTTTGACGTAGTCGATAAGATCTCTGGAGAGGGTCTCGGATTTTAACTCTGGGAAGCTGGCTTCATATTCCAATTCTGGGCAAGAAAAGAAAAGAAAAAGCAATAAGGTATTAAGAAATGTTTGCACACTGCAGAACCTCCTTTTGTGGAAACAGGATAGCTCTACTCGACCATTACATCATGGAAGTCATATCCCTTTCCTCCAATAGGAGACATGCCCAGGCTTGCTTGGAAAAGGTGCATTATTTTCATATCAGCAGACACAATGTCTTTGTTCTCTCACCCTAATTTCTAATGATTTATCCAGCCGATTGTAAAACACAGTTTGTATTCAAAATCACAAAAAAGGTTGAATATCTGCTACGTTTGGCAATAAATGAAGAAAACTGCACTTAATTGGAATAGCAAGAATTCTAATGAAGGATTTTCCTATGAAGAATGACATGCGTGTCAAACTATGCCAGTATGAAGTAATACCCAGCAGTGGTGGGATTCAAATATTTTTTACCTCCGATTCAGTGGGCGTGGCTTGGTGGGTGCGCTTTGTGTGCGTGCATGCATGCACTTTGCGCACACGCTTCAAATGTGCACTTTGCACAGGCGCAGAGGCGTTCTAACTCGCTCGCAAGCCTGCACTCTCCAGGTCGCTTCAGCAGCTGCCGCGCAAAGCAGCTGCACTTCAAATTCAGAGGATAAAGGTGAGTATGGGAGCCTGGGCCCAACAGCAGAGAGAACTGGTTTGGTCTCCGCTGTTCATCACCGCTACCGGCTCGGCAGAATTGGGCAGAACCAGTAGAATACCATCACTGATACCCACCATTTATTACATACGGCTTTCTAACAGTTGTTGTCCCTGCCTCTTGTCCAAGTTCCATTTTTGTATCCTGTAATTTAAAAGACATGACAACTGATATTTTACAAAAAAGCAGGAATTATTTTGTATTTCCTTTTTACTGCATTATTATCATTTTATAACAATTGTTAACTCATTTTAAACATTTAAAAGGATCGATATCTTTCTTTTGCTGTCTAATTGGATGCAGTGTTACATCGCACCATTTCAAATTATTATATAATACAAATGGTGATAGCTATTTTATAAGTCTAACCAGAATGATTAAGGGACTGGAGACTAAAACCTATGAAGAACGGTTACAGGAACTGGGCTTGGCTAGTCTAGTGAAGAGAAGGACCCGGGGAGACATGATAGCAGTCTTCCAATATTTGAGGGGCTGACACAGAGACGAAGAGGTCAAGCTATTTTCTAAAGCGCCTGTAGGCCAGACAAGGAATAATGGATGGAAACTAAACAAGGACAGATTTAACCTGGAAATAAGGAGAAATTTTCTGACAGTGAGAACAATCAACCAGTGGAACAGCTTGCCCTCGGAAGTTGTGGGAGCGCCATCACTTGAGACTTTAAAGAAGAGATTGGACTGCCATCTGTCAGAAATGATGTAGGGTCTCCCGCTTGGGCGGGTGGTGGTGGACTAGATTACCTACAAGGTCCCTTCCAACTCTGATTATCTGTTAAGTCTCTAGCACTATTTCTCAGCATAGCGATGGATGTTAGCACCAGGGGGCACTAAATGAATAAGACGGTGATTTTCACTTGCCTAAATGAAATGCCAAGAATTGCAAATAGCTCTTCAACTATTTCAATTTCCTAAAAAGTGAGATAGTCAGACAAAAGAAGAATTTATCTCTAAACCAAAAACTGGGTTAATGTCAGTTTAGGTACAATGTTACTTCTCATGCACACTTTGTATTTAACCAATACCATCTGAGATTAACTGAAAAAATTCTAGACATACAAACATTGTCATGATGTACTTTTCTAACCAGTTATGCTATTTTCATTTCCCAATTATTGTCTACCTGGAACAACCTCCAAACATATAATGCAAGCTCCTAAACTATAAACCTTGCATTATAGTTATTCAACTTTCAAGTGATTCACAGTTCTTGAAATTCATGCAGCACTAACCTTAGGAATGGGAATTGCCTTGTTTGGATCAACAGCCAAGCCCATTTCTGCCAAATTCTTAGAAACCGATTTGGTGCTATCCCAGGCATGTCGGATTTGAGCACTGAAGAGAAATTGGAGGGAGGGGAATAAAGCAGGGCATCAATGCTATGCAATCATGAAGAGATTCCTCCCTTTTCGATAATAATGACCACACTTTTGCAATCAAGACAGATTTTGCACCAACAAACGGCAGCCCTCTCCCTCAATTCAAGGACACAGAACAGTGGAGTGCTGATTAGAGACTGAAAACCTCAAATCTATATGTGCCCCTGTCTTTCCACAATTGTAAAAGTACAAGAACACTTTAAATGACAATCTGTTGGTATTTCATTATATATGAAATTGGCTGCCTATGGCAGCTACCTCAACTCTGTCTCATGATAGGACTGATCCTGTATAACTGTCTAGTGCCTAAAAAAAATCTATGTATTTTAACATACCTAAAGATATTCCAAGCATCATTAAGAGGCAGTCTTTAGCATAATTTGGGTTCACTTCATTACTCTTTTTAAACTTATCCATCTTCTTGAATATCTTACCTTTTTCATACATGAAAAGGAGTTGTTATAGCAATGGTAATGAAGCGCTCGCCATAACTTGAGCCATTTTCATTCTATATGTTTTTTAAATCAAATCTAACTCTGGCATTCTTCATGTTATTCCACATTTTACCAATTCTTCATTTTAATTATTGTTTGCCCCCAAACCCTGTGTGCACCAGTAGTTTTCCAAGGGGAATTAACATGGAACAGAAATTATAGATAACTAAAAGAATCAGGAAAAGTTGAACCAATATCCTGCATTCCATGGTTGCAATCTCAGTGCGGAGGTAGGAGTAGTCCTCAACTTATGATCACAATTGAGCCCAAAATTTATGATTTTATGTGAAAAATTTGCTAAGTGAGTTTTACCCCATTTTATGACTTTTCTTGCCACAATTTTAAATGAATCACTAAAGCTGTTAAATTAGTAACCTGATTGTTAAGTGAATCTGGCTTCCTCATTGACTTTGCTTGTCAGGTCACAAAAGGCAATCACATGACTCCGGGATGCTGCAACCGTCATAAATATAAGTCAGTTGTCAAGCATCCTAACGTAAATCATGTGACCATGGGGATGCTACAATGGTTGTAAGTATGAAAAATGGTCATAAGTCTGTTTTCAATGATGTTGTAACTTTAAATGATCACTTAATGAACTGTTGTAAGCCGAGGACTACTTGTAGTTGAATAGGAGATGTTACCTATTAAAATGGGACCAAATGCAGGGATAAAGGAGCAGCTACTTAAAAAGTGTACAATTGAGGAAAAGGAAAGGAAAGGTGAGACAACAGGGATGTAGGACTTACAATTTTAATTTTAGAATAAGGACACATGGTTTATGCCAGTGGTGACTAACCTTTTTGGGCTCCTGTGCCAAAAATTGTTAGCGTGCCAGCACACCTGAACTTGCGTGCCAGCACCCAGAATGCAATGCAGGCCCCCTTCCCCACACCCCCTGTGCATGCGCATGCAATCCCCCCCTACCCTCTTACTTGCACTGCACCTCACAGCTGATTTTTCGGCTGGTTTCAGGCCTTTTTTGGACTCCCAGAGGCTTGGAAAAAGCCTCTGCAAGGCTTTTCAGGTCAAATTATAGGCCCATTTCATCATTTCCGGTATTAGAGGAAGTAACGAAACGGACCTATAATTCGGCCTGAGAAGCCTTGTAGAGGCTTTTTCCAAGCCTCTGGGAGGCCGGAAAAGACCTCAAACCAACCCCCCCAAAATCAGCTGTGAGGTGCAGGCATGCGCAGTGAGGTAAGTTTGCCTGCAGCACACGTGCCAGCACAAATCAAGGGTTTATGTTGTTGCAGTTTTTATAATGCATTGTTTTCCTGCTCTTAGCCACATCAAACATCCCAGATCCCTTTTAGCTGACAACATAATATGCAAATAAAACAATACACACACTGAGCTGCTTTTGGAACTGAACCCACGTTGGCAGGTTTTGAATAGGATCTAACCCATTTTTTCATTATTATTCTTTCAATACTTAGTTAAAACAGAAGTGGCGCTGCTATTACTGTAGAGCAGGGGTCTCCAAACTTGGCAACTTTAAGACTTGTGGACTTCAATTCCCAGAATTCTCCAGCCAGATGGCTTGAATTGAAGTCCACAAGTCTTAAAGTTGCCAAGTTTGGAGACCTCTGCTGTAAAGAAAGCGGGATTCGACGGCCTTCAGGAGCGACGCTCAAGCTGGGCAGACGAACTACGACCCAGCCTTCCGCATTTTAAGCCTAACTAGCGTGTTAAATGAGCCCAGACCTTACGGTTGGTTCCAGGTGTATCGCAAACGCGGAAAACCGGCGGGATAAATGCAAAGTAACTCAAGTCTGGGCAAGCACGTCGTGCAAAGGCAGCCCAGGAGAACCTGGCGCTTTTCAGACATCTCAAATGACCGAGGATAGGGACGAGCCCCCACCCCCCAACCCGACCCCATCTAGCCCAAATCATGACTGGACAGCTTTCTTTCCCTTAACTCACCATTTTATTTTAGGCGCCGACCGTTTGCGGAAAGCCCGGTTGAGTTTTTTGCGGTCGACGTTATAATTATACTTCTTCCGACGCTGCTTCTGCTTGGCTTTCGGCATCGCGGCGGTTCTCGAGACCCGAACTTGGAAGAAGAGCCACGCGCTTCCCCCGCTTCAAGCCCTTACGGTTGCAAGCCAAAGCATCCGTCGGGCCAATGATCGCAATGGCGGATGGGAATGGTAGTTCTGGCGGTTCGGTCAGCGTAGCCGAGACGCGTTTCCATTGAACTACATTTCCCAGAGAGCGAGCGCGCGGGGGGAGTGGGGAGGAATCATGTGAAAAGCACGATTGGCTGAAGACGGCGCTCGACGCCTCCTTTAGAGACAGCGGAAGAGCTGAACCACGTTAAAGCGAATCCGGAGGTGACCTTCGTGCGTTGGAATCTGGCGAGATCTGTTATGGCTGGGAGTGCTCCGCCGCCATTTGATCCCTACCGACCCCCCGTTATTGAAGGCTTTACTCCGATTTCTCGGGGAAGTGGCGAACGCTTCCAAAGCAAATTCGTGCGCAAGTTCCGCGAGAACCCATTTGTGCCCATCGGTGAGCCTGGACGAATATTCCTAGTCTGGACGAATAATAAATAGCAGGCGAATTGGTCGGGGGTTCGCAGAGCGCGACTTTGGGGGGAAAGCAGTGCGGTTATATTATTTCAATATTGCATTATTTCTTTCAAATATTTTCATTCTCCCTGTCCATCCCCGCCTTCTAGACAGTGTTGAATAGTGAAAACAAAAGATTGATGTGAAATAAACAGCCGGAAAAACCTAGCAATCAAACATACGTAAAAAGCGAAAAACAGTAAAAAGGATTTTATATTAACGCCCATCCTAAGAAGGAACCAAAAAAAAAAATATTCCGGACAATAGCTCCGAAGTCAGCCAGCCACCAGAAATATCTTTTTGTTGGTCTCAATCAAAAGGTCCTAAGAGCTTCCTAAGAAAATAAAACCTGCTTTTTCTCATTTAGCTCAATGCTTTACAAACTTGGCAACCCTAAGATGAGTGGAGTTCTACTCCCAGAATTCCCCAGCCAGTTCTGAGAGTTGAAGTCCACATCTTCCAAATTGCCAAATATAATAGATTTTGTTGTATCAAACAGCATAAATTATTTTGAGAAAGGGAAAATAAGCATGGCTTAAAGCATAACTACCAGTCCCTGAGACTGATCAGGAAAATACTAACATTTTTTTAAAAAAATCAGTGTTTATCCTTAACAGAAACATGAGCCATAAAAGTGATATAAATTACTGTAAGTTTTTCCTGGTGTGAGGGAATGGAAAAGAATGCCCTACCTAAATACTTGCGTTTAGATCTTTTGTTAACCTTTTTAATATGTGAGAATTGAAGATCAGTGAACCAAAGTTTCTTGACAGAACTGGGAACTCTCAATGAAAAGATGGACGGTATATTCAGGAGATAGCCCAAGTCTGTAACAGAATTTCTTTCTTTTGTTTCCTTTACTGCTCTCTCCTCCAGGCTGCCTTGGTACTGCTGGAATTTTGACTTATGGACTCATTTGCTTCATAAATAATAAACCCAAGCAATCCCAGATGATGATGAGGGCCCGTGTTATAGCTCAGGGCTTAACTATTGCATCCCTATTAGTGGGCATGGCTGTTACAAACCTGAAGTCATCCAAGTGAACAAGATGCTGCTGTACAATAATATGAAAGTTGTCCACTAATCAGGGTAAGAACAAGCCCGCTTGCCTGCCACCACACCACATTTTACAGAATGATATTTCAGTGCTACATAGGAAGTGACTTTTCTAGTACCAAGGAGGCCCAATTTTATTAAATAACATTGTTAATATATCCCATCAATACAAATTTGCCTGATGTATAACATTGTGTATCATAGCCATATTTTAAGCTTGTCTTTCTGATAAAGCCAGTAAGATTATCTGATGTAAATAAAACAGATTGTATGGAGAGCCTTTATTATCTATTAGACAGTTATGTGGTTAAAAGTGCATCAAAATAACACATTTATTATGGAGATTGGATGTAATGAACCACATTAAGTTTGTGTTTAAAAATCATAAAGTTTCTATTCTTGGTGTATTTTTTTCTGAAATGTTTGTCACTGTCAAGGGTGGACAGAAATCAGGAGGAATCTAACTGTGATGTATTAAAAACCATTGTCTTAAGACCTACTGAGTTAGCCTGAAACAATTGTTACTTGATAAGGTACTTGTAATCTGCCTCACATACAACTTCTGTAAAACTGCAGATAACTAGAGTAAGACCTTTTAGCTGAAGCATTGATCAGTGGGTTTGTTAATGTAGTAGCCTTCATGCTGTATAGTAACATCTGGCCTAAATTACTGGATTCCTTTGGTGGATTAGGATGGAGTCTCCAAGGCTCCTAATCTTTGGTGATTTCAGCCTTTCCCCAAATAGCATTAAATCATGGGCACCTTAGAATTCGTGGCAAATGCCAAGCTGACTTGTCATCAAGAGCCTGATGTACTTTTTGTTTCAGGGAAATTACTACCTGATCTGAGAGTTGTAGACATTATCATCAATCTATTACTGGGGATACATGCTCTGATTGCTTTACATTTTGCACCTCTTGCAAAATGGGAGGTGGAATCTGTTAGACTACTAGACCATCCAAGGCAACCAATAAACCCTGACAAGTTGTAAAAGGAGGTTGTTTTTGTTTTTGTTTTCTTATGGATTTGATCAATAATTTGGCTGATAATTTTCTGCCTGGCTGAAATGGACATGTAGCAAAGGCCTTAGAACAGTTTACACCAGTGCAGCCTCTCGCTGTGGATGAATCCTGAGGTGATCCTTTGATTTTCCAGGGCACTTAGGAGATAAAATGCCAGAAGAGCCACCTAGAGTACTACAAGAAGAGCACTACAGAAGAGCCACCTAGAGCCAACACAAGTTAGAGCACTCTTCCTCTCCTTTTTAACATCTGCTTGAGAACATTGGGTGAGATCATGAATTGGTTTGGGGTCAAATGCCATTGGTTTGGTCATACTACTTGTTTATCTCAACCCAAGGTTGGCAGAGATCAAAGTCCTGTACCTATACTTGGAGGTTATCAGGTTGTGTCTCTGTGGAGGAAGAGACTCATTCAACATAAGCCAAGCGGCTATGTGTGCTGGAACTGGGGATATGTTCCATCTTTAGGCCCAAATGGGAATCCATTTACTCCTGTTGCACAGTTTGGGGATCTTCTTGGACTCACAGCTCCAGCTCAAGCAGGTGACAGCTATGGCCAAGAGGCCTTTGCAGAAATCCATGTAGTGCTGGGATTGCACCATTTCCTGGGCTTAAGTAAGTAAGTAAGTAAGGCTTATTTCTAACAAGCACTCATGCTTATTCACTTCTTATGGATTATCATAGTATGCACTACATGGGGCTATCATTGAAGACCATCAAAATATTCCACTGATCCAGAATATAGCAGCAACTTAAGCAATTACGGGCATGCCCATGCAACACCTCTGCTTTTTGAATTGTACTGGTAACTGGGAGGCTTCCAAGTAAATTCACTGCCCTGGTTATTACATAAATGCATCTCATGCTATAGAGACTTTCCTGTAGCTTCTGCCCATGCTTTATGATTAAACAAATTTGTCATATTCTTAGCCATTAAACAGTATCATTAGATGGGACTTATATAAAAGCATGCCTTCTTGGTCACAATGCCTGCTCTTTGTCCGCATGATGACCTTGTTAAAAAAATATTTTAAAAGCTGGCTTTTCACTTAGGTCTTGGATTGGAATGATACAGGCCTTTGAGTGTTATATGGTTCCTTTAAAATTTGTGGGGGGTTTCTGTATGTCTATTTTTTTGTATTCTTTAATTGTTTTACTATTATATGTTCCCCAGAGTCACAACAGCCTTATAAATTAGTAAATAAACTGGCCTATTGTCCCCTCTCTCCACCCTACTTTATTCCAATTTAAATCCAATTCATTCCAATTTAAATCCAATTTAAGTCTTGTTTTCGAATACCCATTTCAAGCATATGAAGAACTGAGTTGTATTTCATAAAAGTTTATACCTTTTAATAAAATTTGCTAGTCTGAAAAGGTGTGACCAGATTCCTGATTGTTGGCTGTTGTGCAGCTCTCTTACAGTATTAAGGGTAGGATAAATTCCATCTCTTTTCCAGTCTGTTCATTTTTGAACTTGCTAGATTGCAACAGAATTGTTAACTTAGTCTTGCTAACTAATGACATCTTCCATGTATCGTAGCTTTTCTAACCATTTATACTTTTTAAAAAGTTTCTAGCAATGCCTTGTGCATTCAAACTGCTAAATTACAAAGGAGCGTAGGGAAAAATTACCATTCAACAATAGGTATGTATATTTTTAGATGTAATCTCATGCTAATATATCTGAAAGTAAATCACACTCAGTAGGATTTATTTTTAAATATCTTTACAGGTACTTAATCTTTAAATTTTAAATAGGATTAAACCTGCTTATCCAGCTTGGTCATACCTATTGTGCTTGACAAAGTACATGTTGAAATATATTTTGATAAGAGCCAGACATCCTAAAGTACAAAATTTAGGTTTACGAGAGAAATTAAAAGAAAACTTGTGACTAGCAAAAAGTAAATGGAATGGATAAACAAAAAAATGTAAAAAGATGGTAAAATAGTAATAAGAGAATGTGGAAAGGTTCCAGTAGAAAATACTGTATATTTTGAACTATGGGTTGAACTATGGCAGGGGTGTCAAACTCCCGGCCTCTGGGCCGGATGCATCATGTGCTGGCCCTGCGCCCACCTGGTTTAGCAAAGGGGGAAAAAGTCACGTAATGCTGCTGTGAGGACACAAGTTTGACACCCCTGAACTATGGAGTCCTTGGTATGCTCTGAGCTTGGTTGTTTGCTTGCAGACATTTCATTACTTGACTAGGTAACATAATAATGTACCAAGAACTCCACAATGGGGAAATGTCATAATCTCCTATTCTATTTCACTCTCCCCAAAGGGTTTCTAGGTTCAAATTAATGTAACTAAAGCAAGTGACTCAAGGAAGTGGTAACTTAGACTAGTACTATAAGCAAAGTTATGTGTCCAGGAGAAGCCTAATTCCAGCCAAGGCTCTTGGAGGAGCTTGCATATATTTCAGTGTCTTTTATTAAAAAAATTAATGAAGAATAGATGTAATGCCAGAAGTTTAGAGAACAGCAAAACTACAAAA